TGACTACAAAGGTCGACTCTGTTTGTCAGATACTTTTTTGGGTACTCGCAGCTTTCCACAGAAGGACTTATTAAATGATAATGAGTATGTTCATGTGATATCTCTGAAAAAATACTACTACCATTTTTTTAATAAATGGAAAATGAAGGCACATAAAACTTTTTTTAATATACCACACAAGTTCTGAAAATTCTACCAATGATTTAAACATGAGGGATCAGTTGCAATGCACTTGCCATTGATCGCACAGGAAGGCCGTTACCAAGTAATCAATATTAGCACTCATAATTCAGTGCTGCATATATACATTTTTAGATTTGCACAAACATGGAACAGTATTTCTATACAAATATTCTTTTCTACATCAATCATCAATCAATTATCCCCCAAATTTGTCATTACATAATATAGGTAAGTGGAGGGAGGGAGGGGGAAGGAAATGCATGAGACATACAATATAGGTAAGTGGAGGGAGGGGGAAGGAAATGCATGAGATACCATTCCAGATACTTAGCAAGAGATTACTGCTAGTATAAATTAAAAATTTATTTTACCTATTGCAACCAGTAGTTCTTGAAAGTATCCATCATAACATTCATTAATAGCATCTACTATGTCTTGCCCAGAGATATTTTGGAACTCCTGGAAATCTGGAAAGAAAAAAAAAACAACAAAAAAGCTTTCTTCATTCTTGTTCAGTGATAGTGATAAGCTTCCTCATTTCCTCCATCATTTTAACTACTGATTTTCTTCCCCCTCCTATGTATCTGTATGTGTTTCATTGCATTATCCCTCAGTTAAGGTAATCTAAATGAGTACCTTGAAACCTGTCCTTCTCCTACGCAGTCTCTCCAATATACAACAATTGAGTAACTTATGTCAAAGCCTCTGTTTCACTGACAGCTCTAATATTCTTTATCTAACTACCTCTGTTTACAGATCTTTAAAGAATTTCCTAACTTGAAGGCATCTTCCATGTTCCCTCTTAGCTAAAATTGGCCAAAGGTTCAAAAATTATGAGCAGCCATACTGACATTGTCCCCCATTAAACTTCTGCAGGATCCCATTTTATAGGCACAGGCACCAAATCTCTGCTACAAAGAGGGAACATAACCAAGTCTGTTATGCTACATCAATCCCACCACTACTAATCACACAGAAGTCATAAGAGTAATTATTTGTTGACTTGTGACAGTAATTCTGAAGCACTTTCGTAAATTGGCATAAGAAGTATACATGACTGCAGAATTATAAACTTGTCACCAAAACAGACTTTGTTTCCACTACAAAACAAAAGACTTTTCAAACTCTCCAAACAGGTATGTTTTCTGTTCTGCAGTGGAAGGAAAGTCATGGATATGTAATTATGTTGGACTACCTAGCTTCAAATCAGAACAATCTAGTTACTCTTCTGTGTTCGTGTATGCTAATTACAGGAGAGCAGATGTGGACTTCAGAAATTTTCCCATCAAAAACTACTCTGAAACATCCATGGAAATGCCTCCTCATAGCAGTGTGTTTGACATACTAACATTTACAGAAAATACTACTCCCGCCTCTTCCGAGTAGTTTTCACCCGTAATAACGGGTAATTTAGGAGAAACGGAAAAATAGTTTAGATCTATCCACCTCATCCGGCTGCCTCTCTGTGTGCAGGCTCAGCACAGTCAGAGCCCACAGGCAGGGTCTCCTCTCTTTCACTAGGCACTGTCGAGTCAATGGGTTCTTCCTGGAGCTGCCTATCAGTATCAGGCAGGGTTCGATTTTGCACTACTTCCAAACTCCCCCTCACATCAGTGGGAGCTGAGAGCTCAAAGAATTCACACATGGATGCTTAAAGTTTCAGACTAATACTTTGCACACAGCTTCCTAGTACAGAATCCCTTTTTTTTTTTTTAAAGCAAGTCAGATTCTTCCTCTCTACTGCATGTTGGATTACCCATCCACAACTGCTGGTAACTCCTATTGCAGAGGATCATTTGGAGCATGTTTTTGTGTTCCCCTGTTTTCCGTTGACATGCTTCCCACAGGATCTAAAAGATCAGAAAAAGAGGCAAAAAAAAAAGCGAAGTCTTAAATCACATTTCGACATTTGTAATTGTTCTTTTTTTTTTTAATATTTGAGAAACTAACTTAAAGTAACATTTACCATTGCATCCTGAGCAGCTGCAGAAGGATCTGCAAATCCTTCCATTCTTGTTCCCTGGAAAAAAAGGAGAAAAAAGATGCATTTTTTTCAACCATTTAGAAGATGAAGTTTTCTCTGCATGATGATACTTGTCATTTCTTGAGATATCAGAAATATATTTTTACTTGGGATCATTGTAATAATGAATTGAGTAAACAAATATATATAAAAAAACTAACATCATCATGATTTCCCCTAAACAGAGGAACCCTGTAATGACAAGGGGTCTAATGAGACAAGAAAAGATGAGTAAGTTGGGTAAGTGGATAAATTGATCACATAAGTCATTGCTCTTTCTAATTCCATTTAAACTGAATTTTTATCTTACCCCCATAGTACTGTGGATTGCATACTGCAAACTGTGCTATAAATGCAATAAGTATTGCATATAAAATATAAATACCAAAAATATAAAAAATTGCAATAAATATTACATGCTGTAATATTTAACTATGATGGTAAAACAAGTATAAAACATCTGGCATTTATTTATTTTTTAATCAATATACTTATTATCAAAAGAATCTTTTCTCATCCTTTTTTTCTTCTGCCAAATTTGTAAGAGCAAACACATCAAATAATGGATCATCTGCTTGCATATAATCATCATGTAAAATTAAGATTCAAGACTGGGAAATTTCAATACATATACCACAGAAGAATAATTCTAGTTTTGCCCCATATTTAATAGCTTTTTAGTTGCGCAAAACAAGCTAATATGATTTAGTAAACATATTATGATCCAAATTATGTGTTTTTAGAAAAGAAAAACAAAAAAAACTTTTACAATTACTTTTTGATCATAATTGCCTTGTAAGGACAAAAAAGAATCTGAGGTGCAGAACTCTTATCATTGTCAAACAGAATGAGTTGACAGTGCTTCAAGCATTTTGCTTTACTTTAGAACCTAGAATCATTTTACCATAATAGTGAAAGAGAGGATAAAACCTATGCATTGCCTATCAACTCTTGGAATGACTGATTTGTAGCTCTTTCTTGGTAAATATGCTAATTTGCATTTTAATTAAATTGAAAGAATTTCACACACAGAAAAAGGAATTCCAAACAACAAGATGAATTTACTTCAAGGAAATTATACTGCAATGGCTGCATAAAGTTACATATATGAGACAAAAAGACAGAAGAACAATAAACAGTAATTTACATGGGTCAAATGCCTACTCGTCTTGGTAGTAGTGAACAGCAAGTACTCTTGGTACAGTTTCAATTGAGAATCCCACAATATGTAAACTTTCTTAAATTCCAGAGAAGAATCATATTTTAGTTAATAGCCATAAAAAACGGGAATAAAAATAATCTGTGTCAGGTTATATGCTAGCTGAATACAATATACAAAAACGTTTTGCAGCAGTTATATACCTGTGCTATCAGTCACAGGAATTAACCCAAACCAAAGCAATGGAAATCTGCACTGAAGTCTAAACTGAACTGAGTCTTATATTTTTATGGTAGATAAAATAGAGCTTTAAAACTGAGTATTTCATTTGTACATGAAAGAAATGAAAGTCTTTCCTCTCTTGAAAAGAAAGAGACAGGGTCAGCGGTTGAATATCCAGAGGCTTATTCAATCCAACAGTCAGTTAGCTTTGCCTCTTGTTGAAAGCTAAAGTCAAGCAAAAACAGGGGAAGGAACTGAAATTATTTTCCTCTTCTGCTCTTATTCCCTCCCTTCTCGTTCAAAAGTGCCACCTTACAGAACTATCTCCAGCCACGGTAACCTCTAAAATTTAAGACTACTTGAACAATATAAAAAGTTGCTTTGATTTTTTTTAAGAAATGTAGGTCGTACTATTTTATAGTACCTGAGCAAGGTTCAGAAGTGTATCTCTGAAGTGACCTGAAATCTCAGAATCAATGTCTTGTTGAAGATCATTATTATACTCTAGGTTAAAACAAAAATATGTCACTTGTAGCATAAATGTTCTGAATGAAGATTAACAAACAAAGAAATAAACAGGATGCAAATTCTTGCACGATGCTGACATTTGTCCATTTCTAACGTCATTACTCTGCAGTAACCTGTGCAGGTTTTGTATGGACCTAATCATGTTGATTCTAGAGTTTTGAGAAGTCTTCATTTGCAGTCCCCTCTTTTCATCCATGCTAATACAACCTCACCACAAGTAATGTAACAGTTATTGCACATGTGTAAAAATAAATAAATGAATTACGCATTAAGTAGGCTTCTTTAATCTGGTAGATCTCCATATTTGACCTTGAGGCCAGTATATCAATTAGACATTTTTCTTCCACGTCTACTCCCTGTATAAAAACAAGTAAAGATGTTACTAGTAGAAATCATGACTTTCAGAATACAGTGTATTCATCAAAATGCACACTGTTGATGAGTATTTTAAGTTGGACAGAGTGGAAAAATGTGACACTCAGCCCAAGTCTGTAAACTCTGACACGTGTTCTTCACTTTAGCTATATGAGTACCTATGAAGATAGAAAACCCTAAAGAAGTTTGAATTTGTGCCAAATACAGGAAAAATACGATTTTTCCCAATCCAATCAGTAATGTTAATGAAAGCCATACTTCTGAGCTACCAGTGATATTTCACAATCTTATTATTCATATGTTTATGAAACAATGTGTTATTCTAAAGAAGTATCAGTGTCCTCAGAGGTGAGGTCATCAATGAAAAAAATCGGGTTGCTGCTGCCTCACTACCCCCCAAATTACCCACCCAGATGAAAGATGGGAACCTCCAGGCAGAAGACTGAACAATTAATTGCGTGGATGGAAGTTGCAGTCTCAAAAATCAAGCCAAATTTTTGCAGCTCCTGGAGATAAGGCAGGAACAGTGTAGAGAAGACCTGCTCAGTTTGCTTTTTTCTACCAACACTGTTAATGCTCACCTGTGAGCATTCCTTATCAGTATTTAACATCGCTTTCAACTGAACTTTGTTAATAACCACATAAAGCCTTGCGGGATGAGCGCCTTGCACTTCCCTGTATAAATATTTCTTCAGCTACCAAGTTTACTGGTTTACAGGTGCTAAATCACCTGCATTTTTTTTCTTTTATTTACATAATTGAGATCTTATCTATACTCTTTTAACATACCAGTGAATATCCTCCATACAGCTCTGCATTTGTCATATCCTGGTATACATCCTTACCGCAGAGTATCAACCATTTCCATGTCAAATAAATCAGACTAACATATGTTAAGTAAAACAGTCAGTCACTGTGACTCTATGCAATTTGGAATTAGACAGTTACCTTTAAGGCATGCCAGAGCTCATGAGCATCATAGGAAGCAGGTGGATACATCAGGCCAACCATGACTTCTTTGAAGTGGTGAGAGAGATTCTCTTTTAGGTCTGTTATTAAATCCTTAAAAGAGCCAGTTGGGGAGGGGGAAGATGACAAAAAAGCACAGTCAGGATTATTTCAACAGGAACACTTTTGGCTAAAATAAGCAACATTAATCTCATCTTTAAGCAGTGCCTATTCCTTGTAATAATAGGAGTGAGATGATGACACCAAGTAAACTACATAGGCTTGCTGGGTTTTACTATCTACCAGTCATCTAATTAAGACTTTGAAACACTATCTACTATTATCTAATTAAGACTTTTGAGATCTGAGTACCAGGGCAGAGCATCTGTAATTTCCATTGACATAATCCCCAGGTGAATCTGTGGGAACTAAGTATATTTGGAAATCAAATCCTATAAAGTACAGGAGACTTATTGTGCTTTTTCTCACTGTTATTCACTAGTTTAAAAAAAGTCATCCACATTGCTCCCAATACATAAAAATATCTGCTTTGGATTACAGGAAGGTTAAGTGCTTCAAATTATGCATTATATTTAAATGGAATCTGCTATTTTTCACAGATCCCGGATTAATAAAAAGCACCTTCCCTCTCCCATGCATGTGCCTTAGTAATCACTTGCCCAGTAGCTGTATGAGTAAAGGACCACCCAGTAAAAGCTGAGAGTTTCCCTGCCCACACTCACCCATTAGAATCCTTCAAAACATTAGGAATGCCAAAGGCTTCTTAGTTAAACTATCGTTTTATACCTCGTATGTCTTTCTCGAGCAGTTGTCAGACAGGTTCTGACTTAAGTCCAACTTTAAAGCAATCCCAGAAACAGTTCATTTTAACTCTAAATTGCATCTTGACACACCTATACTTTGGCTTTGAATATATATCTGGATACAGTTAAATTAGTAGCTGGAATGGCAAGGAGGGAAGAGACATGCAAATTAAAAAAATAAATTTATGATGGAGAAACAATATGCAGTTTTCACTGAATGCATATCAGATGCATTTGACATGGAATATAAATTAATTCATTAAGGCTTTCCACTTCTGACAACATGCCTGTGGGAAAATGGATACATAATATAAATGGATACTAATTAAAAATTACCCTGCAATCAGAACTAGGAAAAGTGAAATACTGAGAAAGAAAAAAGACAATTCTAAGTTGACTGTATCTGCTATGAGAAGTCCTTGACAGCTAATTGCTAGAAGGAATCTTAAAGCTTGTATATATATATATGAATTATTCAGGCAATTAATGGTGGTCTTTTAAATCTGATTGAAAAGAATCTGATTGAAAGGTACATTCCATACAATAGCCACTGTGCTCGTTCATTTTGTCAAACATAAAGTGAAACAAAACCATAAATTTATGTAGCTCAGACAAGTATTAAGCTTGGTGTATGGACCAACGATTGTATGCTTTGAGGTCTGAGAAAGTCAGTGCTTGAGATGAGAACGTAAATCAGTGAGAGAAAAAAATTACAACTATACTTTACAGCAGAATTTCTATACTTGCTGGGATGGTGTTTTTACTAATATGAAATATTCTTTTATGACATATTCCAAAGACTTAAAGAAAGTAATACAGGCCAGCCCCCTCCCCCAAAAAAATGTAAGAAGAAATATGACTTTCTAAAGATTCTTGCTAGATCAACAAAAGAGCTGAGCGAACATCACAGAAAAAAAAGTTCCATGTGCCTATTCCTTCCTTTTCCTGTTTGTGTAGCCAATGAATTTAAGTTCTACTACTATATAAATGACAACTTGAAACTTTTAGAGGTATCGACAGTTATACGAGCAAAGTTGGGTCCCCATCTGCCGGTTGACAAGCAGCTGTCTGCCAGCCTTTTGCTTTCACTGCCTGACCTGAGAGAAAATCCAACCACAAAAAACACAGGGGAGATAGAAGTAATGAAAATACAAAACGGCTCCATCGTACCCTGCCGTACATGTCTCTGTAAGCCTCTGCAATCATAACACGTTGTGAATTGCAACGCTGTGTTAGGACATCAATCAACACATCTTTTTCACAACCTGGAAAGGAAACAGGACACTGTCTAAATCAATAAATCACTGTTGTTTATATTTGTGGTTGTTCACATTTTGTTCAAGAACATTAACCACATTTCTTGTGAACAATCAAAAAAATCAACAGATCAATATCCTACTGGTATTTACCAACATCAATTAGATTTACCATGCCTACATACCTTTCAGCTGCTCGTATAATACCAGCAAATAGACAAGAAATGTGTATTATCATTACTGTTTCTCTCAAGGAAAAAGAACTTGAAAGCATCACTAAATCAGATAATGGCTTTCAGCAAATCAGAACTAGACATACCAGTAGAACTTGTACCTCAGCCTGAGAGCTCATACACGTATGTCCCATTGAGGTTGATTATATTGTCATTTCAGAACTAGGGATGTCTTTTAAGGGGATGACAATTTACAGTGAGAGCATTTGCTGAAAAACTGAACGACATATTTGCAGAGGAACTGTACAAGATAAAAATATTTTAGTTAAAAATTTAAAAATAATTTGCATCTATTTTATTGGAAATTATCCATGATCTGCTAATGGCCAGAGCTTTCTTCTATGCCTCTATAATCTCTGTGACTGCTTTTCAATAGTGGATTTAGCTCTCTCTCTTCTGAATGACATAGCCATCATTGCAGAAGTTTTTCAGCTCTGCTCCAATTTCACAACAGTTCGATTAATTTCAAAACTCACAAAATTGGTATTTTATTGAAAGTCTGTGCATAAAGGTTTTAGTTCCTGGAAAATAATTATTGCTAGGATTCTGTACATCTTATATAGTCCATAACTAAAAAAGGATTCGGAAAATTATTTTAACATTCTGTAATATCACTGATTCTGTAATATCACTGCAATCAGTGGGATAACTGATGTGACTGAACCTCATCACAAGCGTGTCACGTGCACAAGGGTGTTTGTAAATACTTTTAATACTTGTAAATACTATGGAGACTTGCATCCCTCTGAAGCTGAACTTTGCATTTTGCAGATTGTCTTGAAATTAAAATTTCTTTTCAATATGCTTTTATGGGTAATCAACAGTAAGGCTAATGCACTTCTCCTTTTAGTATTAAGGAAGAGAATCCTCTCCACTGACATCTTAGTAGCATCCTATTAAGAGGCACTGTTTCAGGTCTAGCAAAATGGTTAAGTAGATCCGTAGCCAATTTAATCAAAAAAGGTATTTTACATGGCTCTGGATCAATAATCGCCCTTCCTAGTGTTTAATTTGACATTAAGTCGGAAACCTCACATGATTCCATTAAAGAATCTGAATGAAAAGAAGGCAAGATTTGGTGCTGCAAGGCTCTGTGAGAAGCCCAAGAGGTATAAAAATTCCAGTATACACAACAATCCTAACATGATGAAAATGTTTCAGATAACCAGAAATAATCAATATTCTGACTCTCAGCAATACCAAAAATATTCATCAGAAAAACACAAAAATGGGAACAGAGAAAAATGCTTTGGTGAACAAATACATTTTTTGGTCTATATGCTGAAAGCAAGAGTTGATCCTGAGGGAAAGACAATCAATACTTTTTAAGTTTCTACTCCATTTATTTCTATTTCTTGGTGACTGATATTTTAAAAGTCATAATAGTCTCAGGTAATAGCTAACTACTGAAGTGACAATTTAAAACCTTTCCTTTATTGGTCACAGTAATGACATAACAAAATTCTAACTGCCTCTAATTTTTAAATGAAAATGCTCATTGCTATAAGCATCAGCATAAGCTTTAATCAATCCTCCCTGAGTTCCTGTAAGCACAATTCATCACTTATCTGGAATCACTAGTTAATCTTTTTGTGATATCTTGAAGAATCAGCAGAAACGTGGCGATATTTTTAATATTAGGAGCTCTTACTTTGCTTAATGCCTGCTATTGCAGAGAGAAAAGATGTGCTGAAAGTACCAGTCACGATACTCACTAATTCCTTGTAGGGCTCCTCCTAGCAACTGAGCATCCATAACAGGGTTAAAATTTGGAGCAGGAAAAATTGTTCCCTGTATCTGCTAAAGGAAAAAAAAAAGCCTTTAATTAAGGTGTTTTACATCTTTATTGTTGCATATATACCTGCTGAAAATTAACAATCATAAGATTAAGCAGTCTTCACTCTATAGCGAAGAGAATACAAAGTTTTCAATTCAAGAAACAGAAACCAATCTTGGTAAACATAGAGAAGGCAGAGCATATTTGGGGAAGTTGTGCCTCATATGAGTTGGACCTGGAAAAAAGTTGAAATGTTAACACTAATCAATATATTTTTCTGCTTCCAGACTCTACATCTCAGTAGGCGAAACTGTATTCCAAAACGAGTTGCTACACAGCGTTTGCTCGTCGACGTGTGCCTGGGAGATGCAAAGCTAGCAAGTGTCAATGTCCTCAGAGGGGCCAGAACAGCAGTTTAGTTCCATGTGCTGTTATTTCCCTGCATTCGTTTGCAATGGAGACAGCACAGCCAACTTGGAATGTACGGTCAGTTCCATATTTTTTTCTCCAAGTTCTGAAAAGCAGAGAGAAATTAATAATACGATCTCATGACTTTTCTTCTATATATTCTGAGATGGTCACTATACAGATACATTAAGTCACTTCCCCATTAAAATTTTATTTCTGACAGTTTATTTTAAAAGTACATTTTTTCCAAACATCCAGCAGAGGGTTCATGATCATGAAGACTCATGTGAAATTCATCTGAAAGAAAAAAGAAAATTACCTTATGTAAAGAGAAATAAACCTTTAAGCACCCTCCAGTGGACAAAACATTCAACAGCGTTCTGAATAATTCAAGTAACAACTCCCCATCAATCACGATGAATTATTAGAAAAGCCATAACACTGGTATCATCACCAAATGCCAACAGCTTTAAGACACAAATCACATTACAATAACTCCTGAAGATTAGTCTAAAATATTTTTCAGGACCAGAGAGCACATCATAAATCACAGTGAATAAAAACCTGCAGAATCACTACAGCTTGCTTTTAAGAACAGGAAACACAAGGCACTGTGGGTCGTCATCACAGTGGAAAGAAAAAAACTGTCCTTTTATTAGAAGCCATGCTAGACAGGAACGAGGCAAAGAAAAGAATTAAGAATTAGTTAGGTGCCTAACCAGGGTGGTCACAACCCTCAACAAAAATCAACACGCTGCAAGTTACTAGCCTGCTATGGCCAAAAAAAAAAAAAAAAAAAAGGAAAGATTAAAAGGTGGGGGAGTGGGCTAGGATTGAACCAATAATCTTCCCATTTCTTAAGGGCTGAATATTTGATATTTGAAATTGTTACTATTTAAATGTAGGTTAATTCAGCACTTCTAGGTTATAATTTATAATACTAAAAATTAAATTCTAGCCTTTAATCTGCAGACTGAATGAGTTTCTTTGATCTGTAAAAAAAAAGACTCTTTCAAGTAAAACTTTTCTCGTCATTACTCTAACATGAATTTAGCTTTAATCTGCTAAAATTGCCTTATGAGTAAACTTTTAGAGAAAGAAAATCTACTACAATACCTGTGCAATAATCTTGCACATCCTTAGTGCATTAAGCTATTTTTAGACCCTCCACTAGGTTATATTAACGGATGAAGGAATATTTTCTTTTCTCAAAGGACAGCAGTCTTGGCCCATAGTGCTTCCTCTTATCCTTGTTTTAACATATACAAATATTTTTCTCTGTAAGAAGGGTTCCATTCTAAGCTTTTATTTATCATCAGCTACTGTAAGCTTATTTCTATAGTTTGAGGTAGTAACATCTCTCCAGACTGAGTTCACTGGAGCACAAAATAAATGATATAGGTACCGAAATCCAAGACTGTTAAAATCAGAAAGATGGCTAAACACAGGATTTTAGATTTAAGACTCATGTCCACAGAAATAGTGTTTCTCTTTGTCCTGTGCAACAGTCACATTGCATGGTAAAGCTAAGACTGTAACAGTTAAAGTTGTGTTGTCACTGCCTTGCCAGTGACAATTGCCCTTGGGCAATTGCCCTTGCCAAAGGTAAATCTGGTGTACTTTCACTAAACCTGATTTCACTAAATAAAAAGCTCAGACTTTCCCTCCGCCACAAAGTAAAACAAAATCACGATTCTGAAGTAATGGAAATGCTTCTGAAATTTAAGATAACAAATGTTTTTGGAACATTTAACCTTTTTAAATACTAGGAGTTCATCCAAATCTCATACCTAGTATTAGCAGAGCTCTTTTTGCTGACTTCAGGGAACTCCGGGTCCTCTCCTTAGGAGGCAAAAGCATGCAGGAGTGCCACCAGCACAGACCATTTTGCACAACCCTTCACCAAGGCAAGCAAGGATTGCTTATTGATAAAGCAAAGCAAGGTCAGGGGAGAGTCACCAAGATGTTCCAGGCACAGATGTTCCTGTGACATGAGGCTGAGGGACTCAGCCCAGAGAAGAGACAGCTTCAGGCTGGGGACCCAACAGTAGCCCTCCTAGTATGTACAGGGAGTGCACTGAGAACAAGGATGCAGGCTCTCTACTGAGGTGCACAGCAGAAAGGGAAGCAACCATCGTAAACCTAAACGGGGGAGACCACTGGTACTGAGGTTTTTAATTTATTTATTTTTAAACTGTGAGGTTAATGGAGGGGAATTAGTTGCCCAAAGAGGTGTGGAATCTCTATCAGTTTAAGACCAGACTGAACAAAACTGTAACTGACTTGGTCTGCATTCAGCACTGACCTTGTGAGCAGGAGGCTGGTCTAGACAACCGCCCACTATCCCTTCCACTCTGAAAGATTCCATAGCAATTATTCTCCAAAGCCAAAAAACTAACAGGAATTAGTCCATTGGCATTTTAAAAAAATAAGCAAGCAAACCAAGTCCCTATTGACTCAGGGACATGGGACAGAGTAATAAAGCAGCTTGTATTATACCCTCTGGGGTCAAACCTGAGGTGCACACCAGTTCCCATCACCTGTTTTGGTGTGACAGCTTTTGTGAGACAGGCACAGAGCTGACACATACCACAGAGCTGGGTTACACTATACCTACCATGATATCTCAGTTGTCATATTGCTGAGAATCGTGCACATTATCAGAATGCAACTGTGAATTTCAGGAATCATTTACGTATTTTCATTTTCTGGAAGGCAGATTAGCAAAGGTATAAAAAGCACAGTGCCTGAAAGATTAGACTACCAGCAGCTGCAGACTTTGGTCCTTGTATAGAAGAGGAAGTCACTGTTTACGGACATCAAGGGGAGCCTAATTATAATTTATGGAGGAGAGCTACAGCAAGGCAATTTGCTTTCACCAAACATAAAAATCACACACAAAAAAATCCTCCCTTAAATAGCTTAAATGTCAAGATATCCTCGTCCTCTTCCATTAACAAAAAAAAAAAAAAAACCAAAAACCCAAACTAGATCTATTTCCACAGAAGTTGTCCAGCTAGACGCTTATACACAACTGTTGGCCTGCACATGCAGGTGCATTTAACACTTAAGAAACTGATTCCAAAGTAGATATGAAAATTGAACATGTTTGCATGGTGTTGGCTGAATAAGACAAAAGAAAGATTGGAAAGGGACTGTAAAATTTGTACCAAACCTGAATACTTGCACTGTACTTTTCCACACAAGTTACTTGTATTGAATTGTTTGCAGTCTTGGTCAGTGGCAGGAAAAAGTATCAGTAAGAGTAGCTTGGGCTACTTTTATCCAATTATGAGGTATAAAGTTTAGATGATTCAGTCTTGTGATGGAAAAAAGCAATCTACAGTATGAACAACCTTCTAATAATATTTGTTCAGTAAGTCATTCTGCTGATAACAAACAATCAAAGTCAGATTTCTCAGACTGAATGTTTCCAAGAAGGAATAGCTACTAAAATAAAATGCCTGCTTTAAAAACTGTATCACAATTAGTTTTGACTTACTTTCCTAGTTATACATGGCATACTTCACTGCAAAGTACATGCGACAGTAACAGAAGGGATACTTTTAAATATAATACATTCATTCTCTCTTCTGTATTCAGAGAAAGATGAGAGGTTTTAGATTAGATGTCTTATCTAATTTCTGGTAATTTTACCTCTATGTTCTGTGGGGAGCCATTTTGTGTATCTAACCTCTAAGAGTAAACCCGTATAATGTTGTTGAGTTTGCCAGAACTGCTGCTGTGGCCTTTTCTAAACTTTATTCCTAGCCTTGGTGGATTCCAGTCAAGTCTGGAATTCATGCCTGCTTGAGCTTTGAACCACCTCTTCCCATTCAGGGTCAACAGCTCTGCAGGTAAGACTGCTTCACTGGTTGGGAAATGCTGAACTATTTCCTTGTTTTTCCTTTAATTTCTCTTCCTTTCACACCCTACAAATCATTAAAAATAGGAATAAAACCGAGCAGTGTACTCAACCTGAGAATTTCACCATACTTTTCCAGCTAATGCCCGTACTCAGATTTTGAGGTCTTTCAGATTGAGCTGCACCCCGTTGTCCACACTTGCTTGTCCCTCTTTTCCTTGCAAGAAGGAGAATTAAAGGGCTAACTGGTAGGCCCTTGCATATTTAGAAACACAAGGAATGCACAGAGGCACCATTTACTTCGTTGTTGTTCAGAAGATCAGAGTTAAGAACTTCAATTCCTTCTCAGGTAAGGATGCCCTTGAAGCTAAGACAAATAATTACATTTAAACAAGTCTGAAATACTAATGTAAATATCCCCTAGAATTTCCATGTAGTCTATTAGATTTCTTTCATGATACATAAGTACCAGTTTGAATGACATAAAAGTGGGAAGTTCCCTCTACAAGCTACACTGTAATGCACTACAAGCAATATATAACAGTGATGAAGCATTAATTATTTAAAAAGATGGGTCTTGATAAATCCAACAAAGAAATGAAACTAAAGTTTCTGATGGGACTTCTTGCCCTGACTTAGTAATTAAATTGCTTTAATACATTAGTAGCATCTAACAGTAATTAAAAACATAATAAACGAAATATTCACTAATATGAAAATGGAAAATTCACTAATAACATAGTAATTAAATTCTATCAGTTTTGTCAGACTAACTCTTCTTACCTTGATTTAGTTATCAGAAATACATCAATAAAATAATAATTAAATGATAAAGGTAAAAAATTCATTTTCGGTTTTTAACTAGAACCAGATCTAGTAATGAAAGATCAAGTTTCATATCAAAAAACCAGCACCTAATTGAAACCTGTTCAATACCTATTTCAATAGAAAAAGAAAATACATACAATACAGTTTTCTATAAACAAACAGTTTACTGGGAGGCTGGAACAATTAGTGCAATTAGACCTTAAAATAAACAAAAATGCTTCTCCCCTAGAAAATTCTGCTCTGATCTGTAAGTTAATTGTAAACGCACATGCAAAAAAAGCTTTAAGAACAATAAACCATTACTCTTACTAATTTTAAAGAACACAAATGTCCCCATTAAATTATGATTATCCGTATGCCAGGTGCAGAAAGCAATTTCAGTTTTGTTGTCAGAAAATAACTATAGTAGCTTCCAGAATGAGTTAGAACTTCAGTATGAAATGTTTGTTTTCATGAGGACACTAAAGGAAACATTCAATTAATTGCTATAAATTATTAGTTAGTAACAATCAATGCTTTTCCCCATTTCCTTAACGAAATAGCTTTGAAAAAAATGGCACTTTAGAATCTAAAGCACTGCCAGCAGAAAGAAATGTTTATGAATCCTGAAATTACACAGTTAATGAAATTACACAAGACACACATCAGGAACATACATGCCCACCAAGTTTGTAGCATTTATCAATATAATCTAAGCAACTCGGTTCTATTTTTAATACCATTTGGTGATGGTATATAATTTCATGTTTGTTACAGTTAGGTGGATTTTTAAGAAACTCAGAAACATGTAGAAGACTGTCTTAAATGGTCTAAAATCATGAAACTAGAACTGTTCATTTTGTGTCTTTTAACCTTTTTTTTTTAATACATAAATAATTAAATAAATATTCCAATCCCATAACTAGACATAAATCAATGAAGTTAACTACACTTGACTAATTTCTTCTAATGGAGGAGAATGGCTCCCAACAAGCATGGCAGCTCAAGAGCAGAAAAGAATTTTTAAAGATTTCACAGAATAGATTATGGTACTTACGTAGTTTCCACAATACATTTTGACACAAGTCTCCAAGTTCTGTCGAGATCAAAATGAAAGTTCTCCTAGATGAGGCTAACAAGTCAACAAGTTAAATGTCTTTCACTCTATTTTAAAGATTTGAGAAAAACCATCCAATCAAGCTGATACTAAGTACATTACGCTCCAACAAAAAGGAATGGTGCCTGGTACTGTATGTCCCCGGGTTTTACAGATGCACTGTATATTTAGTCATTAATCATATATGAATAAGAATGATTATTATGTAAGTAAACAGTCATTAGCACAACACCCTCAGTTCTACCGTGTTGATTTTTAGAATCAGAATTCAGCCTGTCAGAGAACAAAATGTTAACACACAGAAACTCCCTGTGTTAATGATTTACTTTCAGCATTAGATCTGGTCTAGTTCTTTTTCCTTCTCCTGAATCACTCAGGTCATCACTTATACTACAAAGTATTTTCCACCTGGAATGCAGAGAAACAGGCTCTAAAGAACTGATATGTTACCTACAGCAATGGTGACAGACCCTTGCAGCCTCAGTGGAACTGTGTGGATGAGGCTCTCCCTTGATGTTTTCACACAAATTACAGTTTACAAGATACTGCAAAGAGATGAGCAAAAAAATCTAACATTGTTATGTTAAAGTTACACGGAATCTGAAGCATTCTAGAGACTGCTAGCAAAATCATTTTATAGCTGCTACTGCTTTTTAAAGTTTCTGTTATATTCAAGCACTGAAAAATGTTTCCTCTCCCCTCCAAAAAAATCATTAAACTTCTCTAAAATAGATATATTGAAGCAGCCTGTATATTCTCTAGTAAAACTTTAATTGAAAGCATGGGCTATTGCTATTCTAATAGTAGAGAGGGTTTATTTTATTGAAATAGTCAGGTTTTAGACTTCTAGTTTTCTTGCTTTGGGTACCATATCAATCACATGCTTTGCAGCACTTACTGGAAGTTGCAGGTGTCTTATAACAATTGATAAAGAGTTTGGAAAGAAGAAAAAATTCTTTCATATCCAATATCTCAGCAACAGTAACCATCAAGAACCATGTGCTGTTTGTAGGAACTCTGCAGTATTGATTTCATTACCAACTCTTGCATGTTACTGTGTACTATTCATAGGGATTACATGCCAGGCCTTACAGACAGCTGGAAGTTTCTTGGTGTACACTTGTGAAACATGAGTTTTAATGGACTTCGTGCTGCTATATCCTTATTTTTCCCTTAGGGCTACGGTAAAACTTTTCCTGTAAAATTGTACCAAGTACTTGCTTTACATCTCAAATGCTCCATGAGGATAGCTGGGGTACATAGCCCATTTTACAGCTAAGCTAAATAATCAGTAAATAATGTAACCTGGCCAGTTGAAACACTGCACAGTTAAGGTTCTGAAAGTGGTGACAGAACCTAGGGTGGGAAACAGTCTCCTGATGATGAATAATTAATTTCTGATTAGAGATCCATACACTTCAAAGAATGGTTTTATTAAAGTGAATTAGTCTAGTCATGTTTCTGAAAGCAAGGATCTAACATATCTGGTAAAAACAAAATTCACATTATTAGTATAATAAGCTTCACATATGGCTGTGGAGTCTCTTCAGAGAACTGAAATTGAAAAGCTAGGAAAAACACATTCCTAGCACGTTAGAGGGATGGGGCTTCTCACTGTCTTTCAGCACGCAGTTTTTGTGGTGGAAAGAGAATAGAACCTTGCCCATTCCAGGCACACATTCTGTGTGCAATACACTGATAAAGAAAATATGGTGGAAAGAAATAATCTCGAACTATGAAATAGGAGCACCCTTTGGTGCTTTAAATATGGGATGATGAATACATTAGGGCTTACACTCTCTTAGGAGTGCAAGGCATTTGTAAGCATGAGTAAAAACTGCTGGATGGATACAGCAGTAAGTATCTTAACAAAATGAATCATTGGAGGATACATGAGTCAAGCTTAAGTTTCACAACTCTCAAGTCTCTGTTTATAGTACGAAAGAAACTTAAGAAACTTATCTGCCTATGAATTGCTCTTGGGGTTGCCAGGGCCAGGTCCTGCCCTAGCACAGTACACAGAATATGTGCACAGGAGGCAACAGCAAGCATGGATACTCTCTTTTCTGGGTGAACATACATGAACACAGGGAGTGACAACTTACCATCTTGTGGCCACAATGAAATCGTCCGTGAAAACAGGAATACCTTTTTTAACAGTAACCACTGTTTGGATTTCAAATTGCAAGTTTTGGAACAAGAAGAAGAAAAAAAGACTGTTACATTAGAAAAGGCAAAAACATCACATTACAAAATAATAGGGTCTAATCCATTTGTGCATACTTGCCATTTGGTGTTATTTATTAAGTTATATTAACTATATAACTAGATAGTGAAATAGAAAGCTTTTAAGGGGTGGGATACAGCTAGTGACAAAAGGCTCACAAAATAAAGCAGTGCTAGAGAAGATGTTTGAAGAGCAGAATAGGAGTGAAAACTCCAGTGAACACAGCTCCTAGGCATAACAGAAGCATTACTGTATAGTGGGTAAAAAACTCTGCAACAAAGACCTCTTTCATTATTTCATTAACACACTTTGCAGTTATACTTTCAAAGGGCTTATTTATAGAAAAATGCTGAAACTGAAACTGTGCTGGGCCCAGAGCCGTCATCCCCCCTCGGGCCCCGTGGCCCCCATTTCACACCCCGACACGCACCGGCCATTTCGCGTCCCGTCGCCTTCTCCTCCCTCGCCGTGAAGGCGGGCTCCTACTCTCGCGAGACCAGACCGAGAGGGTGGGGCGAGATCACGTGGCGCCGTGTGCGCCTGCGCGCTGCTGCCCTGGCGACGCCCGTGGCGACGAGGACGCGCGGCGGCGCCTCGGGGCCTGGCGTGGAGGGAGCCACGTGAGTGGATTTTTTTGTTGTTTGTTTCTTTTTGTTTTGTTTTTTAAGTACTTTTGAGCTGAGCTGTGTTTAAGGAGCATATAAAAAGCTCTTTAAGTACGTCTGTGTTACCTACGTTTATCTTCCTAAGTGGCTGACTAGACACTAAGCACCTTTGTAGGCAGGTGCACCTAACTTGCAAGATAAATTTGCAAGAGGTCACTTCTATTTTAATGAAGTGTTTTTGGCAGTAGCATTTCTCAAACGAACCTGTCGGTTGTAGCGATGTAAAGTTGAGAGGAGCGTAAAGAACTGAAAACAGACTTTAATTTTTTGATTTTTTTTGTTTGTTTTTGGTGATTTTTTTGGTATAAAACAGTATGTTTAAAAACAAAGACATCATTCTTTAAGCTTTTCAAAAGCATGCATTTGTGATATGGTAAAAAAAATGCTAAAATTAATAGCAAAGAGTATTTTAAGAAATGTTGTGTGCCTCAGAGGTGGTTTGTGCATCTGTTAAGCCAATACAGAGTTTTCAGAGGTAGTGTTGAATACAGCTTAAAGTCCCTACGCTCACCCTGGCTTATGTCTGCAGCTGCGGTAAGAAATTTTGTGCATAACCAGTGTCTCTTATCTTTTGAGGAAGAACTTTTCGAGTGTGATGGATGAAAATGTTACTGGCTTCTGGCAACCTCTGTACATTAGATGGATTGCAATTCTGTGGGGAAAATGAGATTTCCCTCCTGGCTCTAAACCTCCCGAAAACAAGCAATTACCTCCTCAAATATTATTTTTTCAGTATTCTTTGCTTAAATCTGTAAACCTCACTGAATCTACTGAAGAGGGAGTAGGCATGGGAGTATGAACACATATATAAAAACTTTACTGTTGCATTTTTGATAATTTTTAAAGTTAAATCAAGTTTAGACTCTGTCAAGTCTAATGGATCTTGAAGGGAGGAAGGAAAAAAAAAGTGCAATCAACTTTCTAGTTTCCCTTTCTGGTCCATATCGGGGATATGATATCTTTTTAATAGCTTACACCTGTGGCAACTTGTAGTTGGCACATATTTTAAGTATTTTGAATTATTGTGTGTTGTCTTCACAATCAGTGCTGTCTTGTATATTTTTCCAAGGGAAGAGAGGTAATCATTAAGTGACTTGTAAAAAGTCGCCCAAGAAACTTGTGTCAGAGCTGGTGGTAGGTTTTGTGTTTCTGAGCCTTCTTTTGGTAAGGAACCTCTCCTGTGTTTAGCACAAATTCCTCCTTACAGTAAGACTCAAAAGATGTTTAAGTGGTCCTTAAAAAGTCCAAATGTGGCTATTTACTTCTCTTTGGTTATTTACCGAATAGGAGGATGTCATAACCTACATGATTATCCCCCCATCAAGTTTCCTGCCACTGTTGTCTGGAATGTTATTTCAAACTGAATTAAAAGAAGAGTCACCAATTTTAGTGTTTTTTGCTCTAACAGTGTTTTGGTTTAGAAAAGGTCATTTATGATTCTCTGGAAATGTGTTTATATAAGAGTTATTTAGTTCTGATTAATCCCAAATTTAGTTATTGTTTCAATTTTATAGTAAACAAATTATACTGGCATGTAAATTATGTGGTAATGGCTTCAAAAATCAGATACTTATGCACAGAATTTACTGCAGACATTTAAAAGACCACTTACAGAATATAATTTTATTATTTATATGAGCTTATGTCATTATGGTCCTATAGACAACATTGCATTTTTCTGTGTAGTGATATATATGTATATAAATAAAAAATAAAACACAAAATATGGTGGATGGAAACAAAGTAGCATCTATAAAACCCAATTCTGTTAAGAAGGCAGAAGTGTAACATTCAACATGATTAAATATCATAAAGTTTCTTATGTATTGTAAGCTGGATTGAAACCATAACGTACCTCAAATTGATGGTGATAGATCAGTGATTTATATGCGTGTCTCTAGAAAATGTAATGCCTACATGATTTCCTGTAGTGCCAAGCTGTCAGTGTAAAATGTCGTCTCTGTCTTGCGTTTGCTTGGTCTTGGAGAGGATGGGACACCTGTGCTGGGGCCTGCGCTCCAGCAGTGGATGCTGCTTGCCTTGACCACGGGCGCTCAAAGAAATAG